TTTTTATTTCATTTATTCTCCTCCCTCTCTTGATTTACTTGACCAAATTTAAATTGATTTCATCGTTTTCTCTTAATTTTTCTCTCGTTTTATTGTATATTTATGTAGAGGCTATTTTTTTGTTTGTTTTTTTTTTCACAAGCGTTACGACGGTAATTATCCTTCAACTTGGATTAAATTTAGCCAACTCTGCTATGTTAAAGTCATGCTAGTTCCTGCCTTGGTCATTAAAAATGCGCTGAAATTGTAAGGCAACCATCCTAATTAATTAAACGGTCCATGACCTCTGAATTTTGTGGAAATGAATGCCAACACTGCTGATTATGTTTATTTATACCAAATGGCAGGCGTTTTGATAGTTATCATTGGCTCTTTAGCTGACTTCGGACTTCACAGAGGGGAGGAACAGAAAAAGTCTCAAAATGTGGAGATTAGGGAACAGAAGGGAGATTCACAGATATCAAAGAGACGTAAGGCAGATACACAGGTAGAGAAAAAGGTAAAGTGAGTACTGTGGAAGTGGCTGAATATGCATTACAGTGGAGTGATGGCAGTTTGAAGGGAGAAGTCAACTGTCGGTTTATAGATTTTTTTGCTGGATGAGTATACCTTGAACAGTGTGCATCACGTAGAGGTAAGTCTATCGCGCACACCCCCTGATGATTATGTAGGTTGCTTTAAAATTTTTTTCGCTGTTGACTGAATAGTTATTTAGCTGGCCTAATAGGCGTTGAGAAGTTAATGTGAGCATCTTCAAAACAATAACACATTTTTCTTAGCTGAGCAATGGAGAAGAGAAAACGAGTCTCTTATAGCTCTGTGTTCGCTTTTCCAAATAGTGCGATATATGTGGTAAATTTACTAACAATGTGTGATAAGATTATTAGATTACAATTTTTAACTATTTGGAGACACTAGCATCGGTTGGCGGGGGAAGGAGATACCAGGGTATCAAATTGCCTTAGGTACTTTTTCGTTTTGGATTTGATTTGTACAATATTTACCACATGTGTGATCCACTTTTCAAGATTCTGATTTCCCTGCTTCTTTCTCTCGATTACAACAACTTCAATATCTAGTGCTTATTTACAACTCTTTATTCAAGAAGACTTGGTCATACTAATTAAATTGGTTTTTTATCTCCTTTTTTTTAAAAGTGCGCATTGATCCCTAATGAAGGTGATCCACAACTTACAGCCTTAAAATTTATTTATTTATTTCAAATGGTAGACGTTTTGATAATTATCACTAGCCCTTTAACTGACTCCGGGCTCCACAGTGGGGAGGAGGAACATCAAAGTGAGAATACTTCATGAGGAGGAATAGAAGAATGAATTACAGATGTAAAAGCGACAGAGAAGCAGTGAAAAGGTAAGATGAGTACGGTGAAGGGGTCGAATATGACATACAATGTGGTCATGGTGGTTCGAAGTCAGAAGTTAACTTTTTACCGTATGAGTATACTTTGCCAGGGTGCACCACGTGGAGGTAAGTCTATCGCATACCACAGTCTTGAAATGTAAAGAGGAGTGGGCATTTCTCTACTGCTTGCTACTTTGGCTCTTACAATTTTATGCCAACTTGATGACCTCAGGAACACTTTGATTTGGTTATAAGAATAGTGAAATGGTAGCAAATTTATCTGGCTATTACTATTTTCCCCACGTCTACAGTTTTAAGGATTAGTTGTGCCTCCTCATTGTAGAATGTGATGGCAATAAAACAGCGCAACGTCCGCATTATCATCGTCGATCACTCGGCGGCTGCCACGGCGAAAATCCTCTGTGCAGCCTTCCACCTTAACATGCTGGCCGAGAAGGGCTATGTGTGGTTCCTTAGTCCCTGGATTGATAAAACAGCGTGGGATTCGCCAGAGATAATACCACCCGAATGCTCCGTCCACGACCTCAAACTCATGCATAAATTCTCATTTTCACTTTCTCAAGCTGTCGCCTACTCCGCTCCATCCATTGGTTATAATCGGTCTCTTGAGAACTTTGGTAAGTGAACTAGGGAATTGATTTTTATTCTTTCCATTTTTCGGCGACGTATTAGTAATCTAGACGTGAGTTTAAGAAGTTGGTACAGCTTAGCAATCGCCCATGTCGGTTTGTGGAGTGGGGGTTGGGAGTGAGTGGAGAAACTTAATAAGTTATGGTCCATTTAAAGCAGGAAGTGATGTCTCCCTTAAGAGCTAGGGATTTGTAATTGGTATGGCTACGTAAAGGAGGATTTCGCCATGTTGTAATCAAGTTATCTGTTGATATGCCAGAAGCACAGTGCTCGTGTATTTAAGTTAGAGCGTATGTATTCGATACCCAATTTTGGAGAAATCGATGAGGAGCATTGCCGACCGCTCTGTCCAGGGTTGTCTAATAAAGAAGTTCAGGTTTCTCGTTTGAGAAGCTCCAGGAAGAGTACTGCAAAGCGTTTTCCTGATGGGTCTTGGGAGTTATGTCTCAAAGTTATTACATTTACAATCGTATAGGATTTGATACGTTATTGTTGTTAAACTGTGCGTTTAAAAATATTGTACGCTCGTAGAAAAAAAGCTATTATCAAACATTAGCGCTTCAAAGCTTTTTATCACGAGGCTTTTATTTGTTTTCTAATTTAGAATGTCTACACTATTAAAGTTTTCATTTCCCGTTTTTGGCAATGGTCGCATAAATTCTATTCATCACCAGCCCACGTTTTAGTTATAAGTACGGAGATAAAATAGAGGAATCAGGTAAATTCCTTTATTTAAATAGAACAATACAATCTCGAACTTACTATTTTTATTAAAAAAAGGAATTGAAAATAAAAATTGGTATTTATTATAATTTATTTATGATGCTGTTGTCAGGGCTTTTGCATCAGATTTGTGCTCTGCTAGGAAGATGAATTAGGCTGCGTTACGTTTATTTCCAAACTCCCAAATGAAGGGGGGGTGAGTGAAAAGAATGCTTTCGTATCTGTTCATTGAGTGAGCTCTTAAACACAAACACGAGAACAGGACATGTAATTACTTGTCAGCTGGGTGAACAGAAGAAATCGTCCAAACTCTTATCTAATTATGCGAAGGCCATTCCATACTTGCCCCATCAACTTTTTAGGCACTTTGCAATCATTTGCTTGATTGGGAAATACTGTAGAATTATAATGAAACTTGAAAATCGTATTAACGATTCAGCTTTCAGTGTATTTGTATGGAAATTCATATCAAACGATTTCGATGTTTTATTGTGAATTATCCTTCTACGCATTATTTGCCTTTAGGCAAACCGGTGCGTCAATCGGAACAGCGTAAACTCTACGAGCAGTGCGCATATGAATCTGTCCTTGTCCTCGGCAGTGCTGTTGCTCGGCTTCTTCGCGAAAATCCATCCGCTCTTTCCATATTGAACCATCCCAAGATGGCCGAGTAAGTCCTCGTTTTGAGAGTAGTTGGGTAATACGATTCCACGGGTTGCTGTTGTAGTGCTGCCTTCTTACTTTGCTCTTGGCTACAATCTAAGAAATCCTAAATGTGGAGACAGGGAGGGAGGGAGGGAGGGAGAGAGTTACTTAGTTGATGCTTATAACATGGCTGGACTTTCATGACGAAATTTTTTGACTCTTGTCCCATTTTTCCACAATTTGAATGCCTTGCCATGGACGTTTGGTCAGTTCAATCAACCCTGTCCCGTTTATCCGTATTCTCTAACCATTCCCCTTGGAGGCTACTATCATCCAAATATCCCATTTCCTCTCCGAGCTTTTCTGCCTACTTTACATTGCGCACCGTTAGATACAGTCTGAAGGCGACCGTGGCAAACGATTTATTGACAGAAGTCTTGGTAGAGCGAGAGAAGACCAGGAGAAATGAAGTTTTTTCCAGGTTCTTGTATTTGCAGCGGCACAGTGGAGGTAGCAGCAGTGTTTAAGCGGATAGGGAGGACAGACATCCTTCAAGGGATAAACTACCATTTGGAAGAATCTAGTGGGCGACTGTGACTTAGCGAAGCTTACAAAACACTTAAAATACGAATCAGCCGTTTAAGGCGTATGATAGTTCCGCATGGAATTTCAAGTCTCATTAAGGAAGTTCTACAGTTTGCTCAATGCAACATATTTTTGAGGTCAATTAGCCTCTTCATAGAAATTAGCATTGCAAGCGACATCTCATTCCGCATTTCTGTCTTTTTAAATATAAAGATTAATTTGCTAGACCAAAGGCATAATAATTTTCTCTTTAATGCTTGTTTTACTCAATCCGTAGCAAATAAGATGCAATAAATCATCTTCATGCCCTCAAGTCATGTGCTCTAGTATCATCCCTTTTATACACTCTGAACTCTCTCAGCTTATTTCCTCTTTCACGTGTCATTTTGAGCAGATTTATTGCAGTTGTATTAGCATTAATCCTCTTTTTTTCAGTTTTTTTACGCAATTTCCGATACTATAACTTGAGTGGCGTTTATGAAGCTTCACACGTGCTTCTTGTTTTTTCTCTACTCATTTTTCCCTCCTAATAATGTTGGGAGGATTTAGAGTTTTGCGCACCTTTAAGAAAAATTATGAGCATATATTTTCTCCTATGACAATCTTGAAATCCACTGGTCCATATCTAAACCGGGTCTGTGTCCTCAATGTTCAGTTAGGGGAAACATGTTATGGTGAATATTTGTTTGACTGACGTACATTGTGACCACTACGTCACCATATAATATACTAATATTATATTCAAGTTGCGGTAACCCATATGTCTAAAAAGTGAATAAAGACTACTAAGCTTTTAATCAATTGACCTTGTGTCGTGTGCAAAGTGAGCCTCTTCAATACGCACTGTATGCACGGGAGTGGCAGAATTTGACTTTCTTACAAAGGAGGCTTTAATGGTGCTAATCGTCTTTCACGGTAAATTTTGAAAAGCGCTCTGACTAGGAGGTTCAAGCCAATCTCTCGGAGTGTCATTTAGTAGCATTATGAAACTCTAATCCTATGTCTTACTAGTTTAGTCTTTCAGCTATTACAAAGTGAAACAGATGGAGTGAGAGGTCAATCCGATCAAATTGTTGATTGGGAAGTGTGATATTCCGGTGTCTTGCTACTTCTAGACTTCCTTTGAGATGGGTTGATTTGGTTATTATCAACTTCCTCCTGATTAATCTGGCATAATTGACACAATCTACCAAAATTTGATTTAGTCAGGATGTCTTCTCTCTGTGAACTTTTGAGTCCTTTGTTCGAAGTACTTTCCGTTACTTTCTAAATATTTGGTGGTGAGCAAAAAAACTGAAAATCCTGTTTCATCAAATTTGAATGAAGTAGTTTTTTCAAGGTTGTATTAAAATGGTCAGTCATTTGTTTTTAAAATGTTGCCATCTTGTTACGAATTAGTATTTGGCATATTTGTAACCTTAGTGGTCCTACTCATTCTTGATTCAAGTTGGGAAACTTGGACTCAGCCTTCCTCTTCTCTTTTGTTGTCCCATGATAGGCGACTTCGGACATTGGTATCAGAGACCCAAATGGAGTACATTAGCCACGGTGGGTACAAGGACAAGAACGCCGTATCCTTTTTCACTAACCCAGTCGATGTATTGAAGGAGACCCTGGTGTATCGATTTGGTACGACCCCTCCCAGACCCACTCTGCAGCCTCAAATCCCCATTCCACAGATGGGAAACGGTGAAGAGGAAGATAGAAATGATCCACACAACTCTGGTCAAAAGATTCATCAACTCAGTTTCGATGCACACAATGATCGTCTCCTTAATTCCTGGGTAGTGAAACAGTACAAAGACATTGGTACCACGGTGCCTATCATACTCTGGTCTCTTGGCGATAAAGAAAATGCTGTAGGTTTTCTTTTTATAAAACTCGTTTCTATTGGCCGAGGCTACTTTTAACATCACTGAGAAATTTCGGTCACGATGCGAGATATGATCTATGATTAAATGCCGACCATATATGGTAATATTTATTTATTTATATCAAATGGCAGGCGTCTTGATGGTTATCATTAGCCCTTTAGTTGAATTCAGGCTTCACAAAGGGAAGGAACATCAGAGTGAAAAATGTCGAGACGGGGGGGGGGAAGAGAAGAGTGTTTCAAAGATGTAAGAGACAAACACAAAGGTAGAACAAAGGTGAGGTGAGTACTGTGAAATAGTCAAATATGGCATAGAGTGAGATGATGGTAGTTTGAAGTGAGAAGTCAACTGCCAGTCAATAGACTTTTTGCCGTATGAATATACGTTGCCCAGAGTGCACCACGTGGAGGTAAG